AGATTTTATTTGATTACCATCCATCATTCTGCCTATTTCTATGACGATATGGAATTTAATATTATTTACAGATACAATAAAATTCAGAAATTATTTTATATTGTTCACAGAATGTTATATCGTTCACAGAATTAAAATTCAGAAATTATTTTATATCGTTCACAGAATTAAACATAATACTATTATTCACCTAAAAATAAAAATTACAACATATATACAATACAATTCTAATTACAAAGGATAATATAAAACCTTTTACTTCTAAAACTGTACACTATTTATAAGAAGTCTTAGCAAATCCATTAGATGACGAATGAATAATTTTCCTTATAAGAAGTCTTAGCAAATCCATTAGATATTACTTGCGCAAGTCTTACAATAATTAATTTTCCTAAACTTTTTATTCTGAACTTTTTATGTTGATACTGTTTTTGTTATTTTACATCATTAAGCTTTTATATATACATATTTCATCAGAGCTGACTTTTCTTTTGGTTTAATGCAGATGCCCTATTATAATGATTTCACTACGATGCATGTAAATTTTTTATCTTTCTATATGATTTGATTAATCGTAGATCTATTTGAATTCTAATTCTTACTTCTTTAAATATGTTCATAGGTATTGTCTTTATATTTAATGATTGTTTGTTAGATCTTAGAAGGAGAAGAATGCTTTCATATGTATTTTTTTATTTTTTTTAATTTACAATTTTAGTTTATATGCGCAGACCAACGATTATGACGTTTCCTCTTGTGAATCCATATGTACTTAAATCTCTCTTCACATTCATGTTATTCAGAGACATGAACATTACAAATGATCATATCATCCAAAATACGTAAACTACAATGTAAGTTTCATGCTTTGTTACTTTCTCTATGTTTTTTCAAATAATTATTTGCTTATACACTAAAGAAAAAAAATCTTTAATCAATATTTTATTATGAAAGTTAGTATAACTTTTTATACATTTTATCAACTTTGTACTCAAATATGATTTTATACAATTAATCATATTATAAAATGTATATCCTA